GAAGATCACCCTGAGGAAGGCAAGCCACTTTGAAGCGGGGAAAGCCTGCAGGAGTCTGTCCTGGGGCTTGATCAGAAACCTTTGCCCCACTGGAAGAAAATTAGGCGATTGAGGAGAGATGAAGATTAAAATCACAGAATACAGGGGAGTGAAGCTGACAAATGCCCAGGAACAATGGGGGCCTAGCGCTTATGGAAGGGGACCCCACGGAGGCAACTGTGACTGCATTTAACTGTGGCTTAAGGGAACTGTGCGTGGTGTTCTGCCCACCAAGCTGCAGCACTCAAGAAACTGCAGGTGAGGTGATGGGGAAGGGCAGGGAGAGAGCAGGAGAAAGGGGAGCACGTGACCACGGGGCTGTGGGTCACAGGAGCTCTGAATACCTAGACCAGCATGACATATAGATGACCCGAGAGCCAAACTCTCCTCTCCACCCCCAGGCCCAATCATGGTGGATAAAGATGCAGCCTCAGGATCCTTCTCCTCCCAGGAAGCCCCGAGCAGTCAGTCAAGTAATAAATTAGCTAATCCAGTTCACAGTCTCTAAAATAGTTCCATGGGAGATAGGAGAAGAAATGTGATTCAGAAGAATAAATAATTTGCTCCTTAGCCACGCTCTGACCTGGACCCTGAGCTCTTGCCATGAGTGAGGAAGATAAAAGGAGGAAAGGGAGAAAGCATCAGGCCTTGAATTTGCCACCCCCCTCTTAAGGACATTCTCTGTGCCATACCAGTCCAGCCCTGTACCCACACCCGCAGACTTCATATCGCTGCTTCCTTCTCTCGAGCTCCAGTACCTAACCAGGTGCTTTCTGCAGCGGCCAAGGGGCTGAGTCTGAGAGCTCGTCATCGGAATAGTCTTCTGCAAAGACAGATCAATTTTATTTTTATTTTCTGCATGCTTGTCAAAGCCTCTTCTCTTAACTATGCTGAGATTCCTCTTCCTCACCTGTGTCTGCAACCCCTATTTTTTGGGCCCTGTGTCAAATGCTGTGAATCACCTGCAGAATTCTAGTGGACTCTGCCCCTTCCTCTAGTCCAGCCCCAGCCATAGCTGCATGTTTTACTAGAGGTAAAACAAATTAGGTGGGTGGTGTTCATTTTTACCAAAACATTCATATGGTTTTAGATAATGTACACTGCTGGTTCATTTCAAATAGAATTTTTTCTGTAAGGGCTCCCTTGTTACATTCCAATTTTTTTTAAAGATTTATTTATTTATTCATATAGAACTGGGGTACAGGCTAGAGGCGCAGGGTGGTGAGAGGATTCACAGAACGGGGGGCAGAACAGGCAGATCAACGAAGTACTCTGCTGAGGGGAGCAGTGGGCGGGTGAGGAGAGGTCTGCCTCGCCATGTGACTCTATCTCCTCCGGGGCAGGCGGGAATCGAACTCATTAAGCAGAAGTGGCTTAAGCGTCTTAGTGCTGTGCTTTCACCCGCTGCACCACCAAGGAGGGCCAATACATTACAATTTATAGAAGGCGCCAATGCACTACTCAGTGTCTACTATGAAACCCTGGCTATGAATTATATTGATAACATCAGAATAATAACAATGTGCATATAGCTACTCCTTTCTCCCCATTTTTCATATAGAAAAATTGAGATTTTGGGTGGCTGGTCCAATCCACTTAGAGTATTAGTGATAAAGAAGTTGGATAGACTAGCGTTCTCTGATTCCTAGGCCCTTCCCTACAAGACAAGGGAAGAAGCCCAGTAGGCCTGGTCCTGTTTGTGTTCCCTTAGGTTTGTCTCTGGATGCTTCTCCCGGCCTCTGTCCATCTGGACTTAGTGAGTGGCTGGGCTACTTTGGCATTCTTGCTTACTGCTCTATCTCCAAGCTCTCAGAAAAGGGGGCTAATTCATCAGACTCAGTAAGCTTTTGTAGAATGAACAAGTTGCCCTCAGGGAATCACCAGAAAGAGAGGTGAGGAGTAGTCACTGTAGTCTTGACAGCATAAAGGTTTCAGGGCCTGTCCCTTCCCTCCTAGGCTCCTGAGGGACTGAAATATGAAAGACCTCCAGGGGGGATAGATGGGAGGAAAGTTGGACAAGCAATGCCGAAGAGGTGATGCCTCAGTATGTTGATAGGGGCTATGGAGAGCCCATGTAAGTCCTGGCGGGGAAAGCAGCCCCCAGTGTGGGAGAGACAGGGGCATTTGGGTAAAATAGCCATAAGCTAACATAGTAATTCTTAACCAGTGGCAATACTGCCACATGGGGACATAGGACAAAATCTAGAGATATTTTTTCATACTAGGTGGAAACTGACTGGCATCCAGTGGGCAGAGACCAGGCATGTTGGTAAATATCCTACAAAGTATAGTCCCCACAAAGGATGGTCCCCATGACTAGGAATTATCCAGCCCCAAATGCAAATAGAGCTAAGGGTGACCTTATAAACATCACCAAAGAGCCAGAATAAACAAATAATTCATCACTCAAAATAGGCATTTGGACAGAGGAATGGGCATTGTTAATAAACACACCTGTGGGGAGAGTGGCCATAACAATGGCTGACCAGGACACACTGGCGCTTTGCAAAGAATCCCTGGGTGATGGGGTCTGGCCAGGGCCTGTGTGGCCTGGGCACAGGGACAATGAAAGAAGGAGCATGAGGTCTCCAAAGTGGGAAACTCGTTTCCTGATGTAGAAGGAGGGTGGAGCCAAGGAAATCAGGATTTTTCAGAACTGCCTCAGTGTCACCAAAGCTAGGGTATCACCCACAAATGACCAGAGAAATGGGGATCTGTTTTGCTGAAAATGGTCTTTTCAGTAATGGGATTGACAGATGTGTGGTTCATAGACTGGATGCTAAGTACCACTCAATCCACTTCTCCTTTGTAGTTCGGAGAAGGCTGGTAGATTTCATATCCCTTACAACTGGTAGGTTGTGTTCCCTTAGAAAGCCAGGTTAAGGAGTGGGGACCCCCTCGCTGGCTCAGTGGAAAGGAATGGAGTGATTGATTATCAATGTCTGACTCAGCTTCGAAGAAGGATAGAGATGGACCTGAGGCCACGCCTGTGCCAGCACCTCTTGGTCGAGGCCTTGTTCTCGGTTCTCCTCAGAGCTGTGGCTAAGGAGACTGTGAGCTCTGAGTCAGATGTCCTCTGCTATAATCATTCAGTCCAGCTGTGCCATTTTTATGCTGAGTGTTGTGGGGGATAAAAAAATAATCCAGAAGACATAGCCCCCAAACTCCCTCTCATACTTGGACATTTTCATGGATAAGTAAATTCCTCATAAATAAAATCACAGGAGAACAGAGAACTGTAATAGTAAGTGTTCCCTGCATGGTGGAGCCTGTGTCTTCTAGAAGATCAGTCCAAGGAAAGAGGACCTTGGGCTCAGAGGAGGAGGGAAGAAGTGGGTTTGTTTGGAAAATGGCCTTGGAGAGAGTAGGAAGGCTTGCTGAGCCTCAGGGGAGCAAGACATAAAATAGATGAAGCCACTCAGCCCAACTGATGATGCCTTGCTGTGTTTTTCCAGGGCGAGAGATGGTGGGGCCCACGCTGCCTGGATACCCACCCCACATCCCCACCAGTGGACAGGGCAGCTATGCCTCTTCTGCCATCGCAGGCATGGTGGCAGGTAAGGGGGGAAGGGCTGGGCGAGAGGGGAAGCACTGGAGATGATGGGACAGGAGGGACAAGAAGTAGGTGTGTCCCATGCTTTTAGCAGGCCATTGAAGGACGAACTGAAGAGTGTGACTTCTCATAAATGCTTAAGAAAATGCTTCAGGGCAGTCCTGCCTCCTTAACTCTCCCTAGCTTGGCCTTCTCCTCTTCAGATGCTCCCACACTTCCCATCCTGATGAAAAGAGTTCTCAAACCCAAACTCTACCACTTCTTGTCTTAAGGCAATGATGGAGCATGCTCTAGAGGCCAGCAAAATACTCTGAGCTAGATAGAGCCTGGCCCTTAAGCAACCCATGGTCCCCTGGTGACTTAGTTAGGGTGAAGCTCAACTTACCTTTTTGAAAAGTCTGAATATTAATAGCATTGGTGATGATGATGATGAAGACAGTTGAAATAGATCCTCCTTCATATCTACATTCACTCATGGGTACGATTCACATAGGTAAGACTCATGTTCTAGGTATTACAGAGCATGTGAAGAACAGGGAGTGTTTCTCCATAATTGTTGAACTGTCCTGCCTGCCAGTCATTTGGGTTTCTTGGTCTACCAGCACAGTCATCAGCCAACAGGGACCCAGGGTGTCAAAGCAAGGTGGTAAGCTCTGGGCAAGGGAGGAAGACAAATAAGAATCTCTTTGGGCAAGTTTCACTCTGTTTAGGAACCAAATAGAAGGACCCAAGAATGGGCAGGGTGCAGTAAACCATTTGCACTAGCCAGAGAGACCAGGGGGCCTGGAACTTCTGGAAGGAGTTTGGAACTCACGGTATCTTGAGCGTCACGCTGGCCCTGGCCAGCCGCCCTGGCTCTGACCCCAGAGACTTAGCACATTCACCCAGGCTCACTTACCACTTCTCTGCCAGGCGTTACTGTTTGCCAGCTACCCACTCTGGGTACCGGTGCTGAGGCAGGTGTGCTGGGCTCTCCAGGGCAGAGGAATAGAAAGGAGAAGTGAGGGAGGGGAAGGAGGCTCTGTGCTCCCTGGGAACCTGCTGAGCTGGCACTTGTTGCTGCCTGGTTACCGTGGCGATGTGCTTAATGCAGCGTTGAAAATACAGAATACTGACTCCTCTCTCCCTCCTGGCCCAGACTCCCTCCCTCCCTCCCTTCCTCTTCTGGAGCGTGAAATGAGATTGGTCAAGATAAAAAAGGAAAAGATTCGGTTATTTTTTTAAGAGTGTGGATAATGGGGCCTCTCAATCAAAATCCCAGGCTCCAGCCTACTCCCCCCATCCCCCTTCCAACCTCTCCACCTTCTTCTGCTGCCTGCTCAGAGGAGGAGGAAGAAACATAAAGCACAGGGCTTTTCTCTTAATTATGAATCATTCTCCCAGGGCAGGCCCAGGGCAAAGGGTTCCTGGGGTTCAGGATCTGACCTGTGAGGTAGCTAGAAGGCTTGGCCTTGCATCAAATGCCCCCCAGGTTGTTTCCAGAAAGGCCTAATCCTGTCTGGGGGTTGGGGGGGGGTGGATAACAGCATCTACTGAGAGTGAATTGCAAAAGGGAAGAGCCTTGCCTAACAAGGTGGATGAGCACCCAGGAAGTTACATGCAGCTCTATTTCAGAAAACGCAGTGCTATTTAAATGCATCACCTGGTTCCTAAGAACTCCATGGTGCAGATGAATTCTTAGGGGAATTATTTTTTTTTCGTAGAAAAATTGTTTGTCCATCTCTTCTTAGTGTTTAAGCCACCTCCTGGTTGACCAAGTGGGGATGCCTTCCATTAAAATCAATAGATCTTCATGTAGTCCTGCTCTGTGCTAGGTACATAGTGCTTACCGCGAGGCATGGCGATGCCACTCTTCACCTACTGTGGAAGGAAGGAAGACATCATTTATTATGCACTTCTGTGCCTGACCCTTCACAGCTAGAACTTAGTTTCTCCTTTAATGCTCACCACGGGGCTGGTGTTATCCTAGGTTTCTAGAGATAAGGAAACAAGCTTGGAAAAGCCAAGTGATGTACTCCTGGCCATCACTGTGCTAAGCAACCGAGTTGCTCAAACACGGGTCTTGAATTTCAAACCTAAGGTTCTTTCTCCTCCTCCTCGCCGCCTTCCAACAAGAATAGGACCAGGACACAGATGTCTCTTGTCCAGTCATCTTCTGTTTTGCCCTCTAATAATTGTTGTTGTTATCCCTGCTCCATTAATACAGTTAATGACCCTCACATCAGCTCTGGAACTGAACTGAGAACTCCAGATAGATGGAACCGGTCCGTTCATCTTTCTGTCTATTCATACGTACATGTTTCCATCCATCTCCTCATTCATTCTTCTGGCCCCCTGTGATCTCATCTCCTAGTCATCCGTCTACCCACCCACCCAGCCTTTCATCTACCCACCTTTCATTATCCATCTGTCTGTCTTTCGCGCTCCCATCTGCTCTTGCATACTGCTATGTATTCACCTCCTTTTCATTTAACACATTTTTTTGTTGAGAATCTACTTTCTGGGTGCTGTGGATACAACAGTGAATAAGACATGGAACTTGCAGCCTAATCATAGAGAAAAAAATTATCGTGAATAAATCAGAGAATGAATAAACGCGATAATTTCAGATAGTGGTAAGTACTAGACAGACAATAAAGTCAGCTGATGTCATATGAGCCATAGGAAAAGAGGTAACTACTTTAGATTGGGTGACCAGGAAGGCCTCTTTGACAAGGGTTCAGAGTGGCCAGCCAAGTGGTAAACGGGGGCAGACCATCCTCACAGCAGAACAGCAAGTGCAAAGGCCCAAAGGCAGGAACTAGTTTAGCATGATCACACACAGAAGGAGGACAGGGATACCCAAGAACAAGGAGTGAGGGAGATGAACACCACAGAAGGAGATGTTGGGAGTAGCTGGGTCAAAAAAATTTTTTTTTAAAGATTTTATTTATTCATACAGAACTGGGGTACAGGCCAGAGATGCGGAGGGTGAGAGGATTCACCAGGAAGAGAGTGGGGAGCAGAACAGGCAGATCAACGAAGCACACTGCTGAGGGGCGCAGAGGGCGGGTGAGGAGAGGTCTGCCGCACCATGTGGTCACCTCCCGGGGCAGGCGGGGATCGAACTCATGCAGAATTGGCTTAAGCTTCTTAGTGCAGTGCTTTAACCCACTGCGCCACCAGGGAGGGCCTCAAAATTTTTTTAAAAAGATTTATTTATTTATTCATACAGAACTGGGGTGCAAGCCAGAGGTGCAGGGGCGGTGAGATGCTTCACCAGAGACAGAGTGGGGTGCAGAACAGGTAGTTCGACTAAGTATACTGCTGAGGGGAGCAGTGGGCGGGTCAAGAGAGGTCTGCCACGCCATGTGGGCCACCTCCAGGACTGGGAATCAAACTCGCACTGAAGTGGTTGCAGTCAGCTTGCACTGCTGCGTCCTAACCCACTGCACCAGTAGGGAAGGCCCTGGGTCAAATTTTAAGACTGCTCGAAAGAAAAAAGAAAAAACCAGGTAGTTTCACTCATAGCAGGAGCATAAAGGACCCGGGGCCTGGGGGGATGGAGGAGGTAGGGCGGGGAGTAATAATGAACAACTATATACCAGAGACATTTTTTTTACAGGGGTGGAGTGGGGAATGGGATCAAAAATGGGGAGAGGGGAAGTGCATGGGGCTATGGTGATGGCACACGGGTGATTTGGTGATGGGAAGCCTGCGAGGATTGCAGCTGAGATGGAAAAAGGCACAAAATGCTGTAAAAATAAGCTATTATAATTTTAAAAAAAGTGAAAAATAATTTAAGACTGCTCAAGCTTCTGGGGAAATAGTTGTAGATGGCCATGAGAAACACAAAGACCAGTCAGGGGAGCAGCAATTGCAGTCGTCCAGGAAGAGATCAGTGACTTGGACAGGAGAGGTAGCAGTCAAGGAGGAGAAAAGAGACACAGAAGATAGATTTTGACCGTAGAGTCAACACAACTTGCAAGTCAGTTGGGTAGATTAGTTGAGATTGGTAGAAGTTGAAAAACAGAACACAAGGATGACGCATCGTCTGGGCTCGGGAAACTGCGGGGATGGTGTTGACCAGAGAATGTCTGAGAGGTTAAGAGGTGAAGAGTAGAGTGTGTGCAGGGTGGAATCGAGAGCTGCAGCTGGCCCTGTTTGGATTGGGGTGCCACTAGACACCCAGGTTAATAGGTCAGTGGCCAGCTGGCGTGTGTCTGAAGTTGGGAGGCCACCCTGGCAGGGACATACTGTCAACACTGCTCAGCGCTGTTACTTCATGCGCCAAGAGTGGGCCTGGTCACTGGAAGGCACGGGAATGCGCAATCACAGACGCCTCCCAAGCCGAGCCCTGGACTTCCAGCAGAGAAGGAAGCGTGAGAGGGAAGCAGGGTGGGCTGGGAGCAAGCCCCGAGGTGAGCATCAGAAAGCCTAGAGGCTCAGGGAGTGACCGGAAGTGACCCTTGGGATGTTGCAGGGTTGGTGGGTCTTTACCTTGGCTGACCAGAGCGGGAAGGCAGAGAAGAGACTGGAGCGGGAGGTGGGGCCTGTGAGGATTTTAAAGAAAAGATAGAACAGCAAGTTCTCGGCAGGCTGAAGGGAGTGATGAATTAGAAAGGGAGGGATTGATGAAGCAGCGAAAGGAAGACGTAACTTGGTGGGACCATGTCCTTGGAAAGATGAGAGCGACTGGATGAAGAGGCAGGATCCTCTGCTTTCCGCGGGTGCTGGGATTTTTTGTCCACTGCTGGTGGATGGCAGAGCTGGTGGTAGGAAGATACTGCACCCATGGGTGTGCCAGCTTCGAGTGACTGAAACAGGTGTTCTGTAAATGTGTGTTCAGGAAACAAGGTGAGAGTAAGTGACAAAATGACAGGGAAACACCTTGCATTGTCAGCCCTTTTTGCCTGTCCTTTAGGGTGGCAATGTCTGGTGGTGGTGGTGGTGAGGGGGTGGGGCGGAGATTGAGTGGGTGGAGAGGTAAAGCACAGAGGTGCTTGCTGTGGAGCCAGGGTAGAATCAGCTTCTTCTGCCGGTACACCGAAGCCAGGAAAATCCCATCCGGGTACTCCGCAGTAAAGGGGGCAGGCAAGCACTGCGGGTTGCAAGAACACTGGCGTGGGAGCTCAGGCCTCAGGTGCGAGTGCCAGTTGATTCTACCACCTGGAGGTGTCTTAGATCAACTCTTTGTTGTTTTTCCTTTGTACTTTTTCATTCCTTCCTTCCTCTCTCTCTCTTTGCTCCTCCCTCGTCCCTCCCTTTCACACATAGTTTTTCTGCGCCTGATCTGTGTTTGACCTGCTCCCTGCCCCTGAGGTGCTTCCTGTGTTAATACCTATCACAGACTCCCTAGAGGATAGACGAGGAAAGGATCCAGACCCTTCCTCTGGTTCCGCTTTTCCTCTGTCAAGAAAGTGGCTCCCCAGCCCCAACCCAGACTTTGAAACTAATTTGAGCCTCCCATAAATAAGCTTTATTTTAGCATCAGCTTAATGGGAAACTAATAAAAGCTAACATCTTGTGAGTGATTCATGGTACTCAGAATCTAATGTGTATTAGCTCATTTAATCCTCACTAAAACCCAAAGGTAGGGACAAGAATTTGCCTCACTTACAGATGAGAAAACCAAGACTCAGAATGGTCAAGTGATTTGTCCAAACAGCCAGGAAGTGGGGAGATGGGATTTGTCTTCAACAAGTCAGCTCCAGAGCCAAGCAGTTCCGAGCCATCCTTCCAGAGCCTGGAGAGATTGGGGCCATAGAAGACACTTGCTCAACACAGGATTTGAGAGTCTGAATGGCGGCGTGAACATTCATCGATTTTCAGTTTGACTCAGTACAGGGAATCACCTCATAAGCACATAAAGGATTATCTGGAACTCAAACTTAAGAGCCCTAAGGTCAAATTCTGCTCTGCCATTTACAACAGTGATTTGAGTGACTGCCCTGTCCTCTTCTGTAACTCGGCCGGCCCGAGCATTGATGAGTGCTGCCTTGGATGGCCCTGAGAATAGGGAGACTCGCAGAGTGGGGAAGTGCTTGCCAACTTCAAGCTTCGTACTCAGTGCCGGTGATAACTGTGGTGCCTTGCTTGGCTTTGTTGTTGTTTCAGGAAATTCTTAAGTAATTTCTATGATCAATACTTCCTCTAGCTCATCAAGAGTCCACTCACAGAAAGAGGTGATTGGATCTATTTTGTGAAAATTCACACACCGAGTGTACTCCAAGTGGCAGACTTGGCATGACAACCAATGCCTGGGAGCAAGTGTCAGGACATGGGTCCCCAAGAAGGGCCTTCCAGGACCACTCTCCTCCCAGCCTCCATCCTCACCACCCCCTCCCTACACACAGCCACACCCCTCCTTCCTAGAGAACTCACACTGAGGCGACCTAAGAGCTTAGACTCACTGCTTCCTTGATAGAGATTCGCCTCTTCTGCCCTTCTGGAAAGATCCTTCCACAGAAGGTCCAGGCAGCAGTAGGGTAGCAGGGGGTAAGTGGGGAGGACGGGGAATGGGCCCTGGAGACACAGCACAGCCTCTAAACTCCAGCAAACCCTGCCGCTGTGGGACCTTCTGCAGATCCCCACTACTTCGTCTGGAAATGGGCATGATGATAAAGTCTCCCTCCTGGGATCCTGTGAAGGCTGAGCCTACAGAGCGGGGTGGCTCTAGCACCCAGGAAAAAGGAGTGATTCAAAATGATGCAGACCGAGAGGCCCTCAGGGGGTTGATGGAGGGCTCCCACTGTCTGCCTGGTTCCACCTGTCCCTCCGGGCTTAGCCAGTGCCAGCCCTGCAGATCCTTCTCCCCACCCCCACATGGGTGCTTCTGCCTCACAGGCCCCTCCCCTTTGTGCCTCCAACAGGAAGTGAGTACTCTGGCAACACCTACGGCCACACCCCCTACTCCTCCTATGGCGAGGCCTGGCGCTTCCCCAACTCCAGCTTGCTGAGTAAGTCACCTCTGGGACTGTTAAGCCCTCTGCTTTGCAGGACAGGGTGGGGGTGCAAGACTGGTCCAAAGTTGTCTAAAAACTGGAAGGCGCAGTTTAGAGGGAGGGCTGGGGAGACAGGTGTTATTGGGAATCCAAAAAGGTAGAGAGAAGGGCAGTGTGCCTCCTTGTCCCAGAGAAGAGGGCAGAAGCAGGAGACATCCCTTTATCATTCTTCTACCTGCTACCCAAGGCCTTGTCTGTGCAATCTTTGTTTAAGACTCAGGGTTCAGGCCTTTACAGGGAGGGCAGTGGTGGGCTCAAGAAAAGTCTAAGAGTAGACTTTCTGCCTTCAGGGCTCATATCAGATACTGTCCCAGGAGGTCTCTTTAGGGGTGCCAGCTGCCCTCCTTCCTGGGAGCGTGCTGAGAGTGAAGAAAGCCATCCTGCCACGAACATGAATTATCTAAGTGCCGTACACATACTCATGACTCAGCACTAGGTACTTCCAAATCATTTGTTCCACCATGGTCCTAATCTTTGGACAACATTCAAGATCAAGGTCTAAACAGTGAACTCGAAGGCCTCCTTTGTTCCTCTAACACTGGTACCCTGAGCTAGGTGGAGGACATTTTTAGGAAACTAATCCCATGCATGGGTACCTGGAGGAATCCCTCTGGAATTGCCCTGAGTGACGACCTTGAGGTCTCAGAGCAAGTCAGGGAGAGAAGAGCAGTGGTGAGATTGTGGCCGACCCCACGGACACATCACAGGCCTGGCAGGACCCCCTCCTCCCCTCCCCCCCCCCAGGAACTCTACTCTCATTACTTCCTGGTGTTGTAGAGAGACTGGGAATGTGGCTCACCTGGGCTCTGAGGGCCAGAGAAGTTCAACTCCAAGCTATTTTTCTGTTCAGCTTAGCCAGAAAGAATGAGATGCTTCAGGGCTCAGGACCTCCCCTCAGGGCCTCCTGGACTGATTATCTTGCAGGTGATCAGACCCCACAGATCCTCTGCGGGGTCCCTCAAGCCCACTCCCTCTTGAAAAGCCAGGATTTTAGCCTGCCTGGGCCTTCCACAGAAGATTCCCTGACCTCACAGTGCTTGGGCAAGGCTAGGAAAGGTCCCAGTGAGCCCCCACTGTGCTTGATTTTGGGGTTCCAGATGTAACTCTTCCCTGGTGTCCTCTTCCTGGAATGAGGGTGTTGAAGGTCAAAGCAATCATGGGGGAACTATGGGGGAAGGGGTAAGAAGCAACTATTCTCATTCTGGTCAGAAACTCAAAGGTGAGACCAGAGGAGGAAACAGGGCTAGAGAGGAGTTAATCTTTGATGATCTGATAGGCCAGAAGGGTCAATGATTAACTTGTGCTGTCTTAAAGGTTAGCAGATGCCAGGGAAGGCGATGGTGCAATTTCCCCTTCTGACCAGCAGTGTTGTTATTTTTTTAATGTGTCCAGGTTCCCCATATTATTACAGTTCCACATCAAGGCCGAGCGCGCCACCCACCACCGCTACGGCCTTTGACCATCTGTAGTTGCCATGGGGACGGTGGGAGCCACCGAGCAACAGGAGGACACGGCCTGGGATAGGCCCAGAGAGTCACACAAAGGAATCTTTATTTATTACATGAAAAATAACCACAGGTCCAGCGGCTCACTCCTTGTGTGGTTGACTTAATGAACCATGAAAGACAGGATGACTTTGCAGAAGGCCAAACTGTCCTCCAGGACTCCTTAACGAGGGTGGGAGTCCTAGGCAGCGAGAACTGTCCCGTTCCCAAAGAGACAAAATTGGAGGAGAAATGTGGAGAGAAGAGGGAACAGCTGAGGCGCTGGAGGGGCGGCTCACAGGCCTGCAAGGGGCTTAGGGCACATGAGGCCACCTCTGTGGCTCCGTCATCAACACGCTGTCGCAGCCGTGAGTGGTAAGCACTTTCAGCCGACCCACAATCCAGAGCCCGTGAGACGGCTCCCCGCAGCCTCTCTGCAAGTCACCCTGCCTGCCCCTGAGCCGAGGCTCTGGTTCTCCGCCTCTGTTCTGCGAGCTCGGTCTTCCTGCTCCTCCTTCTTGGCCATAGGCTGCAGGCTGGGTCGAGTCAACCGGAAGCTTGATCCAGTGGCCAGCACACCTACCTTTTGCCTGTTGCCATGAACGTGCAAGTGCACCCCAGATATCCTCCCACCGATCACCCACAGTTTGAGACGGACTTTCCGAAGGGCCTCTGGCTCCTGGGGGGAAGGTGTAGCCTCCTAAGCAGAGAGCAAGGTGGGGTTTCTGGGGCCTGCTTCCCTCTCCCAACAGCCCCTGCCAAGCCAGCATAAGCGTACTGCCTGCAACCCAAGCCCACCGCAATGAAGCGCCCGGAGGCAGCCCGTGGAGGTCCCACTCTGCCCCCACAGCTCCTGCCCCCAAGGCCTGACTGTAAATACTGTAAATGAAGCTGTTTGGGTCAAGCTTCCCTCCTTCCTACCCAGACTTTGGCCTCTCCGTGAATTGTCTCCCTGCGTGTTGGGCTTCTCTCCTTGATGCTTCTTTCTTTTTGAAAGATAACCCACCATTGCCACATGACTCAATAAACCATTGCTCTTCCTCTTGGGCTTCGGGGTTGGCTGGAAGGAGGCATCCGGGAACTGGGCTTTATGCAGAGGACCTCAGGACCCAGGGCCAGGGAACGCACTGCAGGGCTGAGGTTGAAAGGCCTGTCTGTGCCCAAGGACCTGGTTTTGCACCTCCCAATGCCTGGGTGGATGTTCAGCACCAGACAAACCATGCACTCCCACCAAGCTTTGGTTTCTCCAGCTCTGAGTAACTGTGAGGATAAAATGAGCATGGACACAGTGCCGGGCTAACCACATAACGCCACAGAAGTAGTTGCTGTTACACACGGGAGGCCCAGTGCAGGGCTGGGGGCAGGAGGGATGCTGGCAAAAGATCCGGGAGTGGCTCAGTACCGGAGCCCACATAATCAGCTCCACGACCCTGCGGTGGGAGAAAGGGAAGGAGGAAAACTTAACCGGCCCTACTGTGTGCCAAGTGCAGTGAGGAGGCCCCACATAAACCCAGTTGATAGTAGGCCCGTTTTATACTTAGGGAAACTAAGGCGGGGGGGGGGAGTAACTTGCTCACTGTGGGAAGGGGGGCGTTCAGTCCTTAAATCCAGCACTTATACTCATCCCCTGGGGGTGCTAGGAAGGTCTAGACCCCCAAGAGGTTCTGGGGCTGCTGCAGGTCTAATATCTTGTGACTTGGTCCTAAAGATTTGACAAGACAGAGATCTGGGTGGAAGGGCCAGGAAGCAGGGAGGGACCCCCAGAGACTTAGGATAACGCCTTTGCACGCAATTTTGAAGAATGAGGGGTGCAATACAGCAAGGGTGACTGCAAGGGTTCTCCTTGTGGGGTGCTTGGCCCCCCCACCGGGTGCGCTGGTGTCTGTGTGGACCTTCTCCAGGCAGGGCAACAAAGCCTGGGACCCCCAGGTTAGTATTGACAGTTTGACAAAATACAACTGGGGCTGAGTCAGATGGGAGAGGGGACTCCTCACCCCACCCACAGGTTCCAAAGCTGGCATGCAGGGCCTGAGAGATGGAGCTCTTGCCTCCCTGTCATCCCAAAGGGGAGGCGTACTCCCCTAGGATGACCCAAGAAGGGTGGAGCCAAGTGGGGGCCACTCTCTCCTCAAAGAAAGCCAGCCCCCATCTGTGAGGGGGTGCTAAGATGAGACTCGCTGCTCAATGACAGGACTTCCTAGCTACAAGCCCCGTGGCAAGTCTGAATCCCATTACATCTGAGGCTTCAGGTGATCATGGCCTTTGGGGTTCCTGAGCCTGGTTCTGGGGCTACCATGAACCCCACCAAGAATCATGCTGAGATACCAGGTGTCCTTAGAAGCCCGCAGAGTGGTCCTTTGCTTTCACCACCAGAATCCTCTTTGAAAACACTGTACCCCTGGGAAGACCTCCAGCCCCCTAAGTCACTGAGGGATTCAGGCTGTACTTTTGCTGTGGGTGACTGTACTCAGATTTCCCTTTCTCCGAGGTAGCTGAGCACCCCAGGTCACTGTCCAGAGCAGGTGTGGGGAGTGTGGTGTGTGACCCCAATGCAGTAAGTCCTGGCCAGGACCTATCCATGGCCAGGCCTTGGGTTCCTCTATGGGGCTCAGAAAATATAGTTATAAATAACGTTGAGGGGAAGAGATGACTTGGCATGCCCCAGCATTGGGGGGCTGTTGTCAGGTGGATGAATGGTGCACTGGGAGCCACAGTATCGGAAAATAAAGAGAGGACGTGAGCGTAACGGGAGTGTGGGCAGCAGCCACTGTGGGGCTGGTTGACTGTGTAGCAGAGTGAGGACTTGGTTCCTCTGAAGGTGTGTGGGAGTGGCGGAGGGTGTTGACACAACTGGAGGTGAGGTTTGGGGCCCAGGCCTTCCCAAGGCATGGAGGGTCCCCTAACCCCCACTGCACACAGGGACAGTCCTGTGAAGGGCTCCGTAGCTTTCCAGCCTGGTCTCCTGGATCCAACATCCTCCCACCCTCCTGGTACCCAGAGGCCAATCCAGGGTGCCTGGAGCCCCTGGAGGCCCTGCAGGGCCCCTTGAACCCTGCCGGGCTCCCTGGGTTGGACAGCACCCAGAGCCCATCTTTCCAAGGTGGCCTGGTGAGCCTCTGAGCACGTCCCACAGTAAGCATGGGTGGGGCCTGGGGCAGCTGGGAACACTGCCCCTGCCCCCCCTGGGTCCAGCCCCTCCCTCACGTCTCCAAACCAGAATTCTTGCCATGAGTCATTAAAAACTTATTTCTGCCCCTCACATGGCAGATACACACTCAGCTCTCACCACAGCCTCAAGCAAGAGGCATTGGTGGTCAGTCTAGAGGTCATGCAATAGACCAGAGATGTTGAGGAGCCTGCTGGGGTTTCCCACCGTCTCTCTGTTGCCCTGGCCTCCTGCTCCCCTCCCCACCCCTCCCACACCTTCCTGCCTGTTGATCTAAGATAAGACAGTGGGGGTTCCCTTGTCCTTTAGGGGTGGGTGCAGCAGGAGGGAACTGGGGTCCTGCGCTCCCCTAGCAATGGGTGTGACAGTGAGCTTCAAGGCAGAGGGAGGTCCGCAGGGGCTGGGGTGTCCTTCCTGCCTCCCTGACCTCTCTCCCCTCCCAAGCTTCAGAAATTATAACTCCTCCTAGAGACCCACTCTCTTTCAGTTAACAAGACTCATTCACTTTCATCTTTCTCTGATCTTGAACATGGACCTGGCTTTGCATTTGGGGAAACTGAGAAGAGAGGTGACTTTTGCAAGATCATTCAGAGGAACTGGGCCCACAGTCTGCTCCCTAATCTAAGGCCTTAAGTATCTGGACGTGACCAGGCTTCTGCAGAGACCTCAAGTACCCGCCTTTGCTTTGTGGGGAGTGGAGGGGATAGAGTAAATTGTCACTCGGGCACCCTCTCACACTCCCAGCTTGGTGACTGGGCCTGGATGACAGCTCAGAACTCAGCCTGCAAGCAGGTGAGAAAGGATGGGATGGGGCCGCAGAGTGGGCTGGGCTCCTCCCCTCCCCTCCATCCTTGGCCTTAAATCGCCACTCAGCAGCCTGTCTCCATATTCTTTTTTTTTTTTTAAAGATTTATTTGTCCATGCACACAAGAACTAGGGTACAGACCAGAGGTGTGGGGGTGGGGGGGTGAGAGGATTCACCAGAGACAGAGTGGGGAGCAGAACAGGTAAACCTACTCGAGCACACTGCTGAAGAGAGCAGCAGGCGAGACAGATGAGGTCTGCTGTGCCATGTGAGTCACCACCCTGACCTTTATGGTCATCAAGCATGTCCACCTGTACTAGGCCTCTGCCCCAGTTTGTATGTTTCAAGGCACAGAAAAAATTATCTTGTACACCTTTGAGTTCTTCCAAGTTGGCAAATAATCAAACAAGAACCAGGCAGATTAACCCGAGAAAGCCATGTAGAAGTTTAGTAATAGCATGTAAACCTCCTGAGTGTGCAGGAGACCACCGTGACTGAGTGACTCACTCTCATGGCTTTAGACGCCATCTTAAATAGTTTCACTAAGATGAGAAAGGCTGGGCTGAGAGAGGAGAAACTCAGTTAAGGCTGACCCGGGACAAAGGCATTCATGCCTTCTCCATGGAAAAGGAATTAGGAACTAGATCTGACTTGCAGAGAGAAATTTAGACATAAACATCAAACATAGTCTCCACTCAACCCTCAGACGGCCCCCTCCCCAAATCAAGCTTTTGCCAAAAAAATAACATATTTGGAGTAGCCCATGTGTGCTCTCCTACACGGGTCACCTTCAAAATGCCCCAGAAGGGTTCAGAGGTCCTTCGTCGTGCTCAAGAAGTGCCAGGAGCATCGCTCCCTACACCCATCTCCTCCCCTTCTTGGCATCTGGTCCTGGCTGCTTTCCTCTCTTCCTTTGGCTCTTGGGGGACCCTGGGGCACTGACATGGAGGTACTTCTCTCTCAGTGGCAGGAGCAACCCCCCTTGTCCTGCTCCCACACACACACACACACACCATCACCCCACCTCCCCAGCTTTAAGCCCCTCAACCCGAGTTAGCTGTCTGACTTTCTAGAGGCAGCTGGAAGAGGCTGCCAGGACAGTCCCCCCCAGGCAGCAGCATCCCCGGACCACACCCTC